AACAAAGTCTTTGCAAATAGCGAAGGGTGGAGGGGGTGAAGGGAGGGCAGGGGAAGGGGAAAAAAATAAGAACCAAGATACTCATGTAAAGGTACCAGATCCCAATGATGAATGTAACTGTATTTTATACCTAAAATGTACCAATAAACTTAATGGGGAAAAAAAGAAGTCTGGCTGCTGTGCAATGCTTGGCAATGATGCAAGGGTCTGACTAGGTATAAAATGGAATTGCTAGAAGATTGGAATGAATGGCGTACAAAACCCACTAGATCTTTGCCCTATCTAAGTGTTGCCCACAGGTTAAGAACCACTACTCTACAGCCAACATTCCACCTTTCTTTACTCCTGATAAAAATTTTTTTTTTAATTTTACACCCCTTTCCAGTCTACATTTATGCTTTCTCATTCAAAGCACAAATTCTATCACGAGGTAACATGGGAAAAGCTTAGATTTCTACATGATGCCAGGATCCTCTGCTGTTTTGTCCTGAGGGGTAGCCTGTAAGATGGAGGAGGAAAGATGTTGGCTAGATGGGACAGAAAATCCCATCAGATGGATATCATGTGATGTAACATGGCGATTGGGGTCAGAGTTGGTGTAAAGAGAAAAGCAAAGTGGTTATTAATTATTTTTATCAGGTGTGGAGAAACAGTAATCTTTGGCAAAGGAGCCTATCTGGAGGTAGAACCACTTAAGTAACTTTTCCTTCTTGTGACCGCTATACTTGGTAATCATCTTTGCTAAATATGTTCCTGAATCACCAGATTAAGAAATAGTTCTCAAGTTCCTAAAAAATTAATTTTTCCAGCAAGTAATTTAGCAAGGGATGGTTTGAGGAGGATGGACTGTTTCTATAAAAACTAGAGCAGATATGTTCTTCAGCTAGCCTTCTCACACTACCGTCTTTCCTGGACAGTTTTCATTGTCTTCCTTTGCCTGACTAACTCTAGAAAACCAGCTCTCTCAACATCTGTGCATTCACCAGGTACAGATCTAGACCGTAACCATGACAGAAACCACCTTAAAAACCATTTAGGTGGTGGGGGTGAGATGTAATGAAGAACTTGTTAAACTAAGAATTCAGAAACAAAGTTCCAATCCTTTTCTTTGGTTGATGAGCTCTGTGACTTGATTGAACTCTTGTTTCTCTGTAGTTAAATTAAAAGATTTCCAGGATGTCTTCTGGCCTGAGCACACTGATTCTAATGATCGCCCAGTCCAATTCTAAGAGATAATTTAGTAGGAAAAATAGAAAAGCCCTGTGATATGAATGTCCTATGGCCCTGTTGAAATTCTGTTATTTAATTTTTTTAAATAGTGGAAAGAGATCAAAACTTTCTCTATGTATCTGTTAATGAACCTTTGTGTGATCACAGAGGTTTGGACAAGTGACAGCTGAGGCTACCTCCATATTACCTATTACTCCAGGTAAGGGGGTGGAAATTGGGCTCCAGAGCTCTGAGAGTGAGGTCAAGCCCAGCCATTCACTGTCTTAGTCACTTTTACCTTTGGTGATATCATTTGTGAGATGGGCCTAATAATACCACCTCGTGGAGTTGGTTGCAATGTTTGTTGAAGAGGTATTGACACCAGTTGTTTGTCAAGTAGTAAAATATTTATAAATTGTAATCATCTATGATTATTATGATCCTTTGGCTAGATCCCAAGTCTTTTGCATCAGTGAATCTTGCTGCAGCCATCATTTCCTTCCCCCTCCAACTGAGGCTCAGCCCTATTATGACTAACTTCCTTAATCCTATCTATAGTTACATTTCAGCTCACAATAGGAACTCTCAGCAAAACCAAAATGATTCTTTATCCCTGTGAATATAATCCTGAAGTAAGATTCAGAGGTAAGAGGTGGCAGGTTGAAGGGATAATAACAGAAAACGTAGGAATTTTCCCAAATATCAACAGTCAGAACATAATAGACATCAAACAAACTGGCAGAATATACTGCTCAGACCTCAGAAACCCTTACACAGTTCTGTGTCTCCAGAAACCCTCATCCTGCTCCACCCACCCCCTTCTAAACAAATGAGGTAGACTGACAGGAGGAGAATAGGTAGCAAGGTTTTTGTATTGATGCCTAAGACGGTGCTATAACAGCACAGCTTGTCTTTGGAACCGGGACTCAACTCACTGTGGAACCAAGTAAGTTATGCATTTTACTATATCTCAATATATATATTCCCTTAGAGTTGTACTAGTGCTGTACTGAATGAATAGGGCTTCTTGGAAAGTCAGAAAATTCTAACTTAGAAATCCACTGTTGCTGCAAAGAGTCTGGGTAAATTTTGAGGGAAAATATCTTAGGTTTTTCTTAAGAAAATATTCTGTGTATACTTGTAATCTCTGTTCGAAGGTTTGGCATTAATAAGTTTTCTACAACTATCTAAAAAGGTCATAGGTCAGACTTCTGGTTATGGTCCTGTCAGGGACCAGGACTGTGGAAAAGGCAAACTTTAGATGAGGAGGGTTCCCCTGCTGTTTCTGAGGGAAAATAATTATCATGGTCATAGTGCAGGAAGAAGAATTAGAAAGAAGAAAACATTTTTATAAAAGGAGTTAGAATTCTCTCTCTCTCTCTCTCTCTCTCTCTCTCTCTCTCTCTCCCTCACTCTCTCTGTTTCTCTCTCTCTCTATTGCCCTTGTCCCTTTTTTGCTGAGAATTTGTATTAAACCATCATGGTTGGCTCATACTAAATGCTCCCCAAAGTCCTGTTGTAGCCTGGGTCTGCAGAAAGCAGGGATATGTTCACCTGTTCTATGAGCCTCAATCCGGGGACTCTGAATGAGGGCTTAGGAACCCACATCTAGAAACCCACTCACCAACTCCAAGACAATAGAGAAATAATGGTCCTCTCATGTAAATGCTGCTCTCTTTCCACTGGTGGCCTGTTCTAATGTCTGGGCCATGTTCAGGTAGCTTGGCTGCCAACAGTCCATCACTGGCATCAGGCCAGAAAACAACAGTCTTTCAAATGCTTTCCAAAATTCCAAGTCCAATGGGGCAGGCATTATGTCTCACATGATTAGATATCAATTTTGTTTATTTCACAGAAAGTAGAGAAGTGGGAAAATGTACACGAATGTGGCGAGGCTATGTGACAGTCCTAGAAGTGAGTGGTGTTGTCAACATGGTCTCTGCCTCTCAGAGGATAATATAAAGTTGTGGGGATTTCTCATTGCCTATTGCTTCCAGTAAAGTAGTGGAATTTGGTGGGTTTCTTATCTTTGAGAGGTGAGAGACTAGAGCAATGAAAAGGAGGGAAACAGAATCATGTTGTACTTGATTGCAGTCTGATAGATGTTCAGCAAATTGCATCTGAGTAAAAAGCATTGTGTTTCATTTTCCCTTTAAAGCACTTCCACTTGAAATTCAAAATTGTCTGTAAAGTTAGAATCAAATCCTGGAGGTCATGCTTCTGGGAGTCTTAGGAGAAAAAAGAAATAAATGAAACCAGTGCTCAGCCTCTCTGTAGGGACACTGACCACCCTTTCCAGTGACTCGCCATTTATTTCTCTAGTTTTCTCCTCCTGCAGTGATGGAGACTAATATAACGATGTGACACTCAGGCAGGGGAAGTGAGGATTTCAAACCATGTCCCCAGTCCTAAATGTTTTGACAGGAAATAATGACCCTATACAAACTGCCGTTCTTTTGCTTGGCTCTACCTCTAGACTCTTGAGTTTTGGTGATAAGATAGAGAATCCATATGATCTTTAAGTTCTGTTTCACATGATTACTGTACACTCCTGAGACTTGTATCTAGACCTAGAGGTAGGAGAAATTATAAAACAAAAATGAGCAATCCAAAGCAAACATTGGCTTCTCTGCCCTGCATCCACAACACACAGCACCAATGGGATCCCTCAAAGGCAACCAATTTCTTATTCAACCCTCAGGTCCTTGTAAAGCCTTTCAATAGGCTCAGGGAATTAGAAAGTAGATTCGTTATTATTATGAGATTCTCTGAGTGATGGGGGAAATTAGGTTTCTAATCAAAAAGCAGCATTTGAGACCCAAGAGAAGGGAACCAGAGTATGAGAGCAGGACCTGTCTCTAATCCCTCCTCTCCTTGGCCGAGCATTCATTATAAGATGTGTCAATATTCAGTGCTCCATCCCTACATCAAGCTATTTTCTTTTTAGGAGCCCTCTCAATAAATGAGAGTTGAGTTTTCCATCTTGAATGCAGACACATCAGTCACCTGTCATCCTCTTCTGCTCTGTCTCAACCCTGTCCCCACATCTCTTGGATGGGAAATCCGACTCATTTTCCTATCCAGCCATTCAACTATTATTAGCCTCAAAGCAACCTGAGACTCTCTGCACTCAGCCTCTTGGTCTCATCAAAGTTCTCTGGTCTCTGTAGTTCTCTGAGCTGCAGAGACTCTAGGCCAAGACACCAGGCTAGGGAGGAAGGCACAGATGCACAGGTGTTCAAGCCCAGGACCCAGGGCAGGCCCCAGGCAGGTTACCTGTAAGGGAGTGTCATGGTGTGCTCCTGGAACACCCGAAAGATGTTTTTTGGAACTGGCATCAAACTTCGTGGAGCCCCGTGAGTTGATTTTTTTTTTCCCCTTTACTTATGGATAATTTGAGTCCTGGGAATGGGGTTGCCATGCAGTTTACATTTCAAATTGTAATTAGGAAATTAACTTATAATTAGGAGATGGAGTAATATGATTTAAAATGAGCCAAAGTGAAGACACCGAGTCACTAAAATAGTTATTACTTTCTTTTTTGGTACCGGGAATCGAACTTGGGACCTTGCACTTTCAAGGCAGGCAATGGAACCACTGAGCTAAATCCCCAGCCCAGTAGTTATTACTTTTGTTTTAAAATATATAAATATTAAACTGCAGTCCCCATGTATTTCTGAAATCTCCAGAGCAACCCAAAAAGTCCAAGAAATCTAAAAGAATCACACTAGTAATTGGAGTAGTCAGACATAGAGAAGACATTTTCCAGGACACTTTGGCCCAAATTCCCCAGGAAGTTGCTTGATCATTATACACTCCTTGGTTAAGCTGACCAGTGTGCATGCCTCCTTGAAACCCAAAAATGTCCTGCAGCTTGAAAGAATCTAAAGAGAGAAGGTTAGCATGATCATAGTAACCAGATAGAACAAATTTTCAGAGTTTAAGTTAAATCCCGTATTGGCAAGGGGTTGAAGGGAGGGCAGGGGAAGGGGAAAAATAAGAACCAAGAGAGATTATGTAAAGGTGCAAATTTCCAATGATGAATGTCATTATATTGTATACCTAAAATG